CAAAATTTTATAATTATATTTCTATGAAAAGTATATAAATTTTATGGTTATTTCTATCGTATAAGATATTAAACGATACGATTAATTTCAATTCCACAATTAATATAGATATATAATTTTTTCTGTACCAAAGAGTTATAGAAAACCAATTTTTATCTGACATTTCCACGTCAAACTTTTATAAAGTATTATATATCGTGACAAAAATATTCTATTGTTCTACCTCATATTCATCAAATATGGAGGACATGATATGGGACATAAACGATGCAACAATGTAAATAGATACGTTCTGCCTATTAATTACAACGTCAATTAATATCGACGTATTATTATAAACAGCCATAGGTGGTGCATACAAGAGAACCGTTAAGCGTAACTCGAAATTCATGTTCCACACGTGAAACAGTTTGAAGCAGCCCATAAATTGAATATTTTCTGATAACAATAGAAAGCAAAATTTGGCAGCAAGCGCTACAAATACTAGAAAGAAATAAAAGAAATATAATTTTTATATTATTTGTATAATTAAACAAAGAAAAAAAGGAAAGAAAGTTATATTATAAAACAAATGTAAAATATCGAAGATGAGCCATTCGCTATTTCACTGATCGGGAATTTTGAGACCCAATTACCAACTCCGGCGGCGCGTATCGAACGGACGTACGTGATTAAACGCTAATTCCGATTTATTCGACGTACGGCCGTAAGTTTAAGCGCGGTGATGGCGTCAATCGCAGGGCCGACCGCGGCCGCGTTTTACACGATCCACCTACGTGCCCGTAATTTACGACTTATCGGCACGGTGTAATTTTGCACGAGTGCGAAAATTACACCAACGCAGAGCCAGTGAACGCACCCCGTGCACCCTCGCACCCCCCCGCCCATACTTCTCTATCTTTGTCCGCTCCTCTTTCTCTCTCTCTCTTTCTCCTTCCCTCTCTATCTCTCTCCACCGCTCTCTAGTTCTCTCTCTCGCGCTCTCGCTCTCTGGAAGTGACGCGAGATCGTGCTCCCGGCACGAGCGGGCATGTACCGGGATGTCGATACCACGAGAAGCGGATGTCAATAGCACGAAGTCACTCCTCCGGCGAGGGAGAGGCTGCCGCATCCGCCGATTTTACAAAGCTCTCGCCGCTCTGTCGCCCGTCGCGCTGGAGAAAAAACGCGTTAGCCGAGGAAGCGAGAACGACAGAGGAGTCCTTTACCTTCGGGAGATAGAGGACAAATTGAATGAGTAGGTTTTATTGCATCAAAGACCCTTCCAGGCATACAGATACGATATTACTATCAAAAGCTACAAAACATACGCATAAATCTATATCTAGAGAAGATATGTGCAGAGTGTTGCAAAATATTTCTGGAGAGATTCTTTCCGCTTAATTAAATAATGTTTAATAATGTTTATTTTGATTCTAATTTTTAATTAATATTAACACTTAAAAATAAATTCATCGTTTAATTCTGAGTGGTAAGACGTTGTGTTAAAACAATTAGCAATTAAAAAAAGTCACTTAGCATCTGGATACCAGAACTACGAGGTGTGTCTCATGTTAATATCAGAATTAGAATTAACGAAAGCAGATACACATATTTTAACATCTGGATGCCAGAAGTGACACACCTGGACTGCAGATCCAGGTTTAAGCTACATCCTTTTCTGAGGAAAGCTCGTGACGTAACAAGCTTTTACTAAGAACAGGCATAAAGGAAAGTGATAGATAAAAGAGAGAAGGAATGATAAATAGAGAAAGATTGCAAGATATAAAGAACAAGATTATCAGATTAGTCGCTCAATTCAGAAAGATAAATGTAACGAGTTAGTCTAGAGCAATTAAAACGTCTGTAACAGTCGGTGACAAAATAAAATTTTCTAACGTTGTAACAAGTCTTAAGTTTTATAGAATACCAAAAATCAAATAATATAAATGTTATATTTAATTATGTTATATGTACACAATATAATAAATACAAACTAAAAGCTTTATATCGAAATTATATCACAAATTAGCAGACGTGTTTCGCAAAAGAAAAAGAGAAACACTTGTTGTCTCTTATCTTACGGATACCTCCGAGTGGGAAGAAAGAAGGAACGGTGAGATTTTAATCGTTCCCGGGAGTTTTGCTCTCCCGAGAGTGCCGCATCTTCCGGTTGCCGGTCTTCTCTTCCCGCGCGTTTTCTTTAGCCCCGTCCGAGATTCTTCTGGAAAAGTTCAATCCGAAGTGCTGCCGGTGACACTCTCCGATGAGTTAGCGGGCGTGCTCCGAGCTTTTGTATTACTTTGCATCGGTCGCCGTTGTGCCCCCGTCAACTAGACGTACCCTGGGTACTGCGCGAGTAAAAGGGAACGAGAATATCGCGGCTTTCAAAAACACCATCGGCTTTTCAGAGACTTTGCTCTTCCGCGTCTTTCCGTTCCCACAGAGCTCGCGACGTAATCCGCAGCGTTTCGAGCGACACACTTCTCCCCGCATTGCGAATTGTAGAACCGTAAAATATGATCATTATAATTAAGTCAGAAAAATTCGCAGAATTTATATCAACCTTTTACTTACGAATTTAATTATTCGCGCGGAGTATATCCCAACATTTTATCTCAATTTTCATTCTTTTTGATTTTGATTCACAATTACAAGTGAATAGTGTTCTAATATCTTTTAAATAAAGATAAGTGCAAAAGTTCTTTTTTAATTATAAAATAATTTTCGCTTAATAATGTGAAACTTGTGAGAAAATTGTGTACTCAATGTAGCAAATTCCTAAAATTGGGGTATATTTTACATTTCACATGATGAAGGGTTAACAGGATAGATATTATATTACAGTGGCATTCAAAACAAATCTCCTGCGTGTTTTTTTTTTAATTTTAAATTAATATTATTAAAGATCTACGTGATGGTTTTGGTAAAAATTTTAAGAACTTCCAAAACTTTTCAAAATTTAAGAGCTGCAAGGTCGTAGGAAAAATAATAGATTATATCGCATCAAATTTTGCGCTAATACGGAGCTATCTGCGTGGCACACATATGGAAAGACGGGTGGAGGAAACAAGCTTTGTTATGCTTATGTCAACAAGAGACGTGTGTTCCAGAGGCGCGTGCTGTATGCGACGCGCTGGAAGAATGAAAGTAAATATCGAGCGCGCGGCGCAGGTGGACCGGATAAGATTAAACAGCTGTTTCCGCGTTTTATCGGGAGTACAGTTAACCACCGCGACCACCCCCGCGGCTCTCTCCTCACCCGGAATGCATTCCTCCCGGGTGCGTTAGCACGCGCGTGCAATATCCGCAATAGTAGCCCGCGCAAATGAATTGCGCTTTTGCGCAAGCAGTTGGGGCGGGACTTTAAGAGAGAAAATAGTCCAATAATGCGTGCGAATAAACTCTACGTGAAGTGTCTCGAATATTTCGAATACTTCATTTGCATATCTTATTTCACTCATGTGTACGTTACACTCTCGTACTATAATATACAAAAGCAGGAACGAGGCATCACAAACATCAAATAATATTACTCAATGGAGACACACAGTCTAAGATAAAAAAAGAGAAAATTAATATATGTGATTAAATAAAATAAATAATATCTGATTTAGTCTCGCGCGATTTAACGCAAATTATGAAAGAAAACTCTAAATATCTTCTTTTGATTGAGATATACTGTACAAAACGAAAAGACTAAGAGACACATGATGTATGATCACTGTTTGTACAGTAAGTTTTCACGTTACATAGGGGATATGCCGGGTTTAATTATACACGAATCATCAAGATGAATTCTACGTAACGCGAATATACTCCACGTGTCACGTCTATCTAGGACTTTATTTCCAAGTGTCCAATCGTCGCCGTCGGAGAAAGGAAGCAAGGCGGAATGGATAGAAAACAGCTGAGGCGCAGCTGGTTTCTGGCATCGCGACGGCTGGCGTCTTTTCCGCGCGCGCAGAGAGCATCGCACTCCGTACGCGCGTGTATACGCACACGCGCGTGACGTCTGTGTATAGCACAAACCATCGATGGTAGAAAGCAGAGCCAGAAATCGATTTCTAACAATATTTTACGCCGGGCTATAATAAACCGCAGAAGAAAAATTAACATTCGCGACCGGCAACCGGCGTGATCTCCCCGAGGTAACAGCTTGCGCGGATCTCGTTAATCCGTAAATAATTATAACCGCCGGTTACGGCGCGATTACGCGGCCTCGTTGGAGAATCCGGGAAAAGCGAAGGTCGTAGAGCAAATATTTTAAATCCACGAAAAGACTTGCAAATGAATCTTTGCAAATGAACCAAAAAAAAAAGGGAGAAAGAGAGAAGGAGAGAAAGACAGAGAGATGTAGTTTCTACAAAGTTATTTTAAATCTTCCCATAAAAGCTACTGCAAAAAAAGAAAGAGATTCTAGAATTCGCGACTTTGAAATGGAAATAATCTCCGACATCTGAAATCCGTATCAGTTTTCCTATTTTTGTCAGATTTTCCCTTTAAGCGTGAATGATCGAAAAAAAGAGCGCGAGTTCTGGTGCATCCGACACAGAGCCGCTTGCATCCCGTTTCGCGTCGCAACGACGGACGTCGACAACGACATCCCTCACAGTACCCCCGTTGCGCTGAACACGTGCAGTGGACACTTCGAATGCCTTCCTCCTGAGTTAACGCGCCGAAAGAAGTCACGTGAATCTTTTCCAGACACGCGTCACGCCGGCTAAGTATAGCGAGCCGGCGCGACTCATCCGCGAATGCAGCCGTGAAAAGCATTCGCATTAATCTCGGCGCCACCTTTGCCGGCCGGACGAGTGAAATATTTCACGACGGCGACGGCTGCGTCCTCGCTAATGAAACGTTCCAGGTGGTGGCCCGACGGCGATTCGACGCGACCTGCGAATTAAAGTCCCCGGACGTCCGCACAGGGACGTCTCTCCCACATTCTTTCTCTCCTTCCCTCCCGCGCCATTGTACTCGACGGAAGCAGTCGTATGGAATTGAGCAACACAGAAACGCTCTACCATGTACAAAGAATTTATTTTGCTCAACATTGACAGTATTCACAAGCTCGCAGATCACACAATGACATCGAGATATGCTGTGTGCGGCATCGGCGGCATCTAGACGCTCTCTACCTCGATCTCGAGATCCCGCGACCTTAATGCCAATTGATTGATTTCAATCGAATGATTAGCTTGTACAAGCAGCTTGTCTCAAGTAACCTTCGAAATGGCCGGTGCATTAGTCCAACTTGGAATATTATTATGATAAAGATTTCTCTCATTCTTTTCCCTCTCTTTCCCTCATTATTGCCCGGCTTTCTTTTAACCGGTGTCGGACGTGCAGGACGATGTGTCGGCGTTACTTTGATCGTTGTTGCTCTCCGTCGACGAGCTGTCGTTACTCTTTATTCGCCGTTTGCGCAGCTTCGCGAACTGAAACTCCTCGACCGGCACTGTACACCAACAATGGAAGTCATGTCATTAGTCTTCTGGCTAATTACCGCCGTTCGCGATTTCTTTTTTATTTTTTTTATGTTTATCTTTTTTTTGTTTACTCTTTTTCTGTTTTGCAGAAAGAGGATGGGACAATTTGATCGGGATAAGTCAAACTGCAGGGAAAACGAGAACGAAGAACGAACGAAAAACACTTATATATTTCTTTTTTTCTCTCTCTCTCTCTCGGACGACCGGAATGTTTTACATTGTGGATCGCATTATCTTACAGTGGGAAGTGCGTGTACGAATCTATCGGAGCACCTCGATACTGATTCTGACTCGCAGAATGCAGATTGTTATGCGTATACTCCAAGGCATCAATATTAGAAACGATCTCAAGCTACCAATCGATACGGTGACGCAAGTTCCTCCGCATGGCACACATTCGCATCCGCGCGCAAGATGACTTAACTTAATCTTTCAGTCCAGCTGCGCTCCTAAACTTTATAGTCTGCAGCGACTATTCTGCAGCATCAAGGAGTTGCGAGTCAGGCAGTTTCCGAGTGTTTCAAAACTGTAAATCGTTGTGGACATACCTATCGGAGTAGCATGGAATAGACGACTCTGTATGCGACGAGGTAGACAACGAACGAATCTTTATTTACAATAATGCACTATGTAACACATGAACAAGCTTTCTTTGCGATGCGCTGGGAGAAGCAATAAATCGGCTCGTACATCGAAAGCATGTTGTTATGCGAGTTATGTACATACTTACGCGACAAGTCGGTGAATTACGTAATGAAGAGAGAACACTCAAAATAGTAAACTTCCGTACTCAATGTTCTTTCTGATGCCTACACAACGGATATCTAACATAACACAGCTTTCTTCTTATTCATAATAAAAAAATTATTCGCACGATTTATCTCTGTTAACTATTTTTCCGTAATCTAACTAGTATGGAAATTTACTTTGTACCATCTGTATTGCAAGTTTGCTCGCGTATGTGACGTTAGTTTTACATGCGAGTAATAATGAAAATATGCATAAATAATCGGAAGATATCGATTCGCCTACGTTTGCGGTAATTGATACTTTTTACACTGGTATTTTGTACTAATATCTCCCATGAGAGAGAAAATGCACAAGGTGTCAGGTAAAGCGCAATCTTAAAGAAGCGAGATACGTCACTTCTCTCGTTAACATCGATCATTTCTAATAGAAATATTCTCTTAAAATAGTCTCTTATGCATTCATGTATAGCTAATGTAATTTTACATCTCACAACAATAAATCGTCTGAGTATTTAGAAACAATTGATTCAGAAATAGGTTTCTTTGTCCTCTTACAACAAAGCATAGGATACATTCCTTTTTTTCGGCTCTCTGCCAATATACATATTAGAAATATAATGTGTATTACCTGAATCAAACCGGCCTTTCGTTCCGTAGGTAAATTTAAATATTTTACATTTGAACATTCGTCGAGAACATTAAATTTATTCTTTAGCGATATGAGTATGTTTAATGGAGGTTTCATTACCATCTGAATCGGGATCTTGTTCGGTAATACCATGAGCCGGGGCGGATGGCAGCGGCACGACTTCCGGTTCGAGGGGTTTCACTGGGCAATCGACATCCTCCACGATCACTTCCTCCGCCAAGCTGCTTCTTACCGCCTCTGCACATTCATGTAGATGGAAAATATAAACAACGAATTGTGTTTCTATTACTTTCAACTCTTTTATTTTATCTGTATAATTAATTACCATTGAATGCCTGTGGATACTGTTGACTCAGTTTATTTTTTATCAAGCGAATCTTCTTAAAAATATAATCCAGGTCTCTCTTCATCTCGATTAAAAGAGCAGTGTGCTTTTTGAATTCTGTACCAGCTGTCTTGAGTCTGTTTACTGACAATTGATTGCAATTTGTCAACATCTCATTGGTTTTTTCAAATCTCTGTAACCTGAAAACATAAAAAAGAGAAGAGATAAAAGTAATATTATATGATATGTAAATATATCTTGAAAAAAACACTAAATATTTTTTGTATTTTAATGCTCGTAAGATTCTTAGAATTAGATTCATTTTATCTGGTAAACAATAATTAAGTGGCATTACCATGGACATTATAAGTTCCACTCAACGATATAAATGTAATATGACAAATATACGCAATAGTTACAATTGTTGAGTAAATAAAATAATATTGGTCTATGCCTATTTCTTCCAATACAAATTAACTTTAATATCTGTTTAACTTTTTATCTTTTTTTATTTTCTTCATCTTTTTTTAAAAGATAAAGAATAAATTAAACCAAGAATAAAATTAATCTACATTCGTAGAAATGAATAATAATGTTATTATTATAGAGTTTATTGTCTACCTAATGTTAAACAAAGACAAATGATACTCATGAACGTTGTGAGCACCAAGAATCCAAAAAAAATTTAGACATAATGCTTACATCTGTTTCTGAGCACGAATCATAGACTCCACATCTTGCTGATCAACGATGCCAGCTAGGCCTTGCACGAACACTTCCGGCGCCGTATAATTCCTGAAGCACTCGAAGCTTCCGGTATCCGACTCCGGTGTGCCTTGTGCCGCTGCCATGCTTTCGCCACTACGGGATTACCAAACTGCAAATTGAGTCTCATCATCAAACAATTCCATCAGAAAATCTCCATCCAGCTTGCTCAGCATCGAGGCTTGCGTTATCACGCGGAGTCGCGCGTTCATGCAAAATTTCTGCTGATGCAGAAGACGGTTACTTCGAGTGACTCACGAATTGAACAGCAAATTGCACGTATTTTTAACCCCTGGATCATCACGTTAAACGAGAAAAAAATGTCAACTTTCAAGCAACATTCTCGCAATCACACCGTCATTATGCCGAGCTTATTCGCCCTGTTGTATCCTCATTCCGCTGCGTTCTCTTCCTGAAGAAGGTTCGCGTCGACGTAAAGGGCTAATGCGGGCGACGACGAAGTTGTTATCGATCACCGTGATGCATCAAATTAGACCAATTAGATTAATTAGACCGAATTAGATTAATTAGATTAGTGGTACAAAATGTGCGAAAAGAAAACGCAACAGTCGTCCGTCGAGTCCGGCGATTATCTCCACTCCAAAAAGACGAATCGGCACGATTTGAAATATGTGCGACGCAACCAGACGCGACACACAACGCGACAAAACACGACGAAACTGCGACGAGAGGCGCGCGCGACGCGCAGGACGAGAAACCGCGCGACGCGCCGCCGCTCGGCGCAACAGCTGTTTTGCCGCTCGATGTTTTCGAGCCGGGCAGTAAAACGCGTGCAGCATTCAAATTTCCGTCGTGCTGTTGTGGAGTTAGCCGTCAATCGAGTCTAAGTCCGGGCGAAAAAGAGGGAGGGAGGGAGGGTTTCGCTCCGCAAAGACGATAGTCCGATTTTCGCCAGGAGTGTGAAAGACTTCGTATCTAAGGATGGCACAGAACGTGAATCCGTTCAGTTCGATGCAGAATACCCCGACTAAGGCCGCCGAGGAGAAGCAGAGTCTGCCGAAGGACAATCATGCAGTCAGCAAACGGTACGCTCGGAGACGAATTTTGTTAATAAAGCACCAAGTGCGAACCGACTGACGAGTTTTCCCTCGGACGAATCGTGCTGATTAAGTTGAACGTTCGCGATCCTTGAATTTTTCTTAAATTTTCATTCAGAAGCCCATAACGCAATCGATATCATTCTGTTCGACGGAGTCACATAACCTAACGGACTATCGCAAAGCTTAAATGATGCCAAGCGTGTGTAATTGAGAATCTTTTGTGAAATTTGATTTTATAATATCTTGTTTTTTCTTGCTGCTATCTAGTTATCTCTAACTTGTCTCATTGAAATTGCTTATAAACATTTAAAATAGAAACATTTAAATTTTTATTTATCATTGTTGATCTTCAGATTACAAAAGGAGCTCATGGTGCTCATGATGAACACTGAACAGGGAGTATCTGCTTTTCCAGAGGGAGAAAATTTATTTAAGTGGATTGGGACGATTACAGGACCAAGAGATACAGTAAGATTGTCTTGCAAACTATCTTAGGTCTATATTTTAATCCGTTCCTATTTCAAACTTATTTCAAGGTTGCTTTTCATCCTAATATAAACTGCAATGTTCACAAAATTCATTAACAATGATTTATGATATTTTTATTATGATATTATCATATCAACTATCATATCAAGTTGATATATATCATATCAACTTATATACTATATAATTTTGAAAGAAATAGTTATGTAAATTTTGAAAGTATAATTTTAATACCATCTTGAATAATGTGTTAATGTTGAAATTGTTTTTGAAGTTGAAATGTAAAAATAATACAATTCTATTTGTTAGTTTATCACATTTTATATATCACATTTTAAGACTATATTTTAAATGGTCTTGAATATAAAAAGTGTGAATACTAGTCTAAGATATTAAAAAAAAAATACTAAAAACGGTCTATGAATAATAGATTTTAAATTATTTTAAGTAATTGTATTTTTGATGTAATGACAAAAAAAGAGCTAACAAAAATTACATATGTTATAGGTATATGATGGACTCATCTATAAATTGACTTTAGAATTTCCACATAGTTATCCATATAGTGCTCCTATAGTACGTTTTGCCACACCTTGTTTTCATCCAAATGTAGACACTGGTGGTAACATCTGCTTAGATATATTGAAAGAAAAATGGAGCGCATTGTATGATGTCCGTACTATTTTGCTCTCTATACAATCTCTTCTTGGTGGTTAGTAATAAAGTGATTATATGATAAAAATATGACAACATAAGATACTGATTTGTGAAATCTCTCATGAAATCTCTAATTATACTTTGTTATATAGAGCCTAACAACGATAGCCCGCTTAATCCCGAAGCAGCAGAACTATGGAACAATCAGACGAAATACAAAAAGTATCTGATAGAAAAATATCACAGAGCACTTGATCGAACACAGAGCAATCGTAATCAGGATTCATGATAAGCCATGTCCGTAATTCATTTTGGATCATTTAAGATTATTCTTAACAGTGGTAGGATTACAATTAAGTGTAAAACTAATCACAATTTTTTTGCACTCCTTGTGAGGTCGCTAAGCACTGTTAACTTTAAATTGGATTTTTTTTCTTTCGAAACATGACAATGACGAAATTCTCCTTCAACTATATGTGTATGCCACATTGCATTTAGTTTGTGTTTCGCAAGCTCTTTTGTAGGAACTTTTGTAAGAACAATTATAAATTTATGTAATCATATTAAGACATTAAGACAATTGCACTGCATTTATTTATTTACCATGTAAAAATTGTTTTTTTATCATTACCACCATCATCCATATATTACATCTATATTTGTTTTCATTTTTACTGTATAGTTCTAAAATAAATATTTTAATGATCATATAGTCATTAGAATTAATACCCAATTCTCCTTAAAATATCAATGTTGCATGTTGATCTGTTTTTAATGCAATATCTATTTTGTAATTATTTTTTTATCTTGTTTATACCATATCTAGCAATATATTGTGAATATTGTCGATTTCTAAGAATTTATGTTTGAAGATTTTTGCATTTTAAAATTCTAAATTAAAAAGTTAAGAAATTCTTAAAATCATATTTCTAGAAATTTTCACATTCTTAAAATATTAGTGCAATCTTCTTTCTTATTACATTTTTTTTAATGCTTTGTCAAATTTTAATTTTTTACAATTTGTGTTTGTAAAATTAAGGCTCTAGTATAATTCTTCTAGTAAGTCTAAAATTCTGAAAATTTTAAATAGTATAATCTTTTTACTTATATTTTCTTGATACTTTTGTTGATTTTTCAAATTTATTTATTTTCGTGATTTGATACTCGTGATTCTTTAAAATATAATTCCTAGAAATATGAAATAGTTTTAAAAATTCTTAGAATTTTAAATAGTGCAATCTTTTGCTTATTATGTTGTCTTGATAATTTATCGTTTTTTATAAATATATTCGTGTAAAATTTGAAATTTTTAAAATAACATTTACAGTCATTTTTATAATCTCGAAAAATACTATATTATTCATGTTTTTATATGTATGGAATCTTAGATTACTTAAGGTTACTTAAGATCAGTCTATTTGTTAAAAATAAAATCAGACTATAAATACATCGCCCTTATTTTCATTAGTTTAATATATAAGAATAAGTTTTCGAAAATATACTCATTTATACAAGACAAGCATGTTATATTATTAATACAAATTTGATTACATTTTTAAAAAGAATAAATTAAATGAAAATAAAAACATTTTCATTTCATTTTTTGTTATTTTTTTTTTTTCTTATTTTGTCTATGCAGTCAATATTTTTAAGAAGAGATAAATAAAGATATTAAAAGAAATCAGTTATGGAAAATAACAAATTGTTGATGATAAGGATAATGAGATCAATATTTCTCAGTAATAAAAAACAAAACAGATTGTATTATCATTACTACTTTTCTTATTATATTCATTATCATTGCCATATTATCAGTCTCATATCGTGTTATCATTGCGTTGTCAAGGCGCTCAAATTTGAATCTGCATATGTGAGCTTGGTAATATAGATATAACGATATCGATATGTGCTGCTGCATTGCGATCCATTTGTAAGGCTTCAGTCGGTCGCAAACTAATATGTGGATAAACACGTGCAAAATGTATGCTCGTTTCACGAATGTGTTATGTAAAGTCATAAAATCTGAGAATAGATCTCTACGGATTCGGCAATTATCAGCTGTGGCAAGTAAAGCTCATGAAGTGGAGGTATGTAATGAAAAGGCGCACAAATATAGAATCGTTATACTTGCCATTTCCTCGTCCATCTGCCATTTCATAGAAAATCTATGTACTGACTATCCTCTTAAGTAGAATACATTCCTGTTTAACAGGAGCGAAAGATCAAAGTCGACGGCATGGAAATAAATTATGCTAGGGTCGGCACAGGTGATCATCCAGTCTTACTTTTGCCTGGTGCGCTAGGTGAGTCTAATTGTACAATAATTTTTTTTAAACTAAATGATAAACAGTTTTGCGCTTCACTTTGCGCTTCAGCATTTGCTGCCATCTACTGGAATATAAATATGAACGGAGGCTGTATGGTGTTTAAACTGTTGGAAAGCAAGATAGCGTTGTCTCCATCATTATGATTTTACTGATTTAATTTATAAAATTTTAGAATAATCTTCTTTCTAAATAATTTTAATTACCACTCTTTTACTATCCTGCAATTTAATTGCTTTTTTATCACTAGTCTGGAGCATTGCTTTTAATTATTTGCAATACAGCTGTCAAGCTGCAATCAATACTTATTAAATTTATGGTAAAATCTTAAAATAATATAAATACTGTTCAAGTTTAGAAAAAGGATTCTAATCAAAATTACCAAATGCAGATTTTTCAAAATATCTACTTTAAATTTTACCAGTAAAGAATAAATAGCAGAAACATAACAGAGTCTATTAAAATGATGACAATTAATTACAAAGATCAAATTGAGTTTACCATTCCGTAACAATTTAAATGGTTACGGAACGATAGATGCTATTCGGTTTCTACTGACAATCTGTTGTCAGATCAGTGTTGACAGCAGCTGAACAGAACATGAGCTTAATGCGGAGGCATTTGATTCTAATCTATTGCAATATTTCTGCTCGAATCTCCTAGCCAGCTACTAGCATACATAACATTTTGCTTACTGAAATAATGATAGAAATTTATGGTCAAAATGAATGTTTCAGGAACAATATGGACCGATTTTAAGCCCCAAATAGAGAATTTGGATAGAAATAAACTGACTATAGTAGCGTGGGATCCACCTGGTTATGGAAAATCGCGACCACCCAATCGAACTTTCCCAGATGATTTCTTTCAGCGCGATGCCACGTGGGCGCACAATTTAATGAAAACTCTGGGCTACACGAAATTTTCTCTGGTCGGCTGGAGCGACGGTGGTATCACATCGCTTCTGTTAGCTTCGACATATCCCGATAGCATTCGCAAAATGATTGTCCTTGGTGCGAATGCGTACATACATCCGGACGAGATAAAAATATACGAAAGTATGGATTTACTCTGTTTTTACTCTGTTTATATTATAGTCTTTTCTAGCATTTAACAATTTGCAACTTATCAAAACGTCATTATTTATAAAAGTGATTTTATTTTAAAGAGATATTAAAAATCTTTAAGTTTGTTAAAATTTATAATAAATCACTAGAGCTTTTAAATATTATTAAAGTAATTAAACTTTATAAATATAGATGTAATATTTTGCTGATGATTTTATCGAGAGCGCATTAAATATTTCATTTTCGTTTGCGTAACATTTCATAAAATATTACCGTCCAGACGTCAGAGACATCAACAAGTGGTCGGAAAAAATGAGGACACCTATGATACAAGTTTATGGGGAAGATTATTTCCAGAAGACTTGGTCGAACTGGATAGACAGTGTGCTGAGATTATACAAAACTCAAAATGGTGACCTGTGCAAACAGATTTTATCGAAAATAAAGTGTCCGACTTTAATTATTCATGGAGCCAAAGATGCGATGGTCCTACCGGAACATCCAACATATCTAAAAGAAAATATCGCTAATTCAAAGTTCGTATCTTTGCATATTTGAAAATATAAAAAAAAATCTATAGAATATCCTTGTACTAAGTTTTATTGTATTATTTTACAGAGTGCATATTTTCGAAAAAGGCGCACACAATCTTCATTTAAGATATCCGGAGGAATTCAATAATTTGGTTACAAATTTCCTTCTTGATCAATCAAAACTTTAATTACTGTCTCATATAATTCAATAGGATATAATGTATTATAGGTGTATGATGATATTGTGATGGCATTTTATCATACCGTATTATTATTTTGTATATTTGAAATTTTGTAATAAAATAATTTTTCTCATTGCACATTTTTCTCTTTGTTATCTTGCTCTTATTATTACGTAAAGTCGTTTTTTAACATTTTCAAATTTAATAATTTAATGAGTTAATATTTATGTAAATCATACTTGATAAAAGATAATAAGAATTCAGCGCTATTATGAATGAGTACTTATATCGTATATATATCCAAGTACCTAATATATTTGCGTTACTCATTAAAAGTACTTCGAATATCTAAATTCATGTATAATATCCGAAATATTCGAACAAATACATCTTCTGAATACTTAAATACCTCGTATGGATAAGACAACGTCGCACTAAATGATTCAGTTATCACATAATATCGCAGGAAAAATTATTATTTTCCTTATTACACACACTGTGAAAAATCGTGTATCAACTGCGTAAGATCGTTTAATACACGTGACATTTAATCTCAAATTATATATTCTCAAAGCACAAAGTGCACTGCTATTTAGAATCACGTATCTGCATTTAATTTTAGCTGGACATATCGATGACATCAACAATAAAGAAATTTATCAGAGCTATCTTGATAATTATTCGTTTTATTATGTTTTTAAAAAATTATGAACTAATGATTTAATCTTAATATATTTTAATCATTTAATATTTTACACTAATCGCTACGTTTGTTTATGATTAAATTCATCAATAATACAATTACTGAATACATATATTTTTATCTATATTATTATTCATATAATATAAAATTATATATGAAATGCTCATTTTTTTATATATATAATTTATATTCTGATTTATTTTATATTAGAAATCAAATCGATTTACGTTCGCTCGTTGGCGCTTGTATGTCGCATTTGAGAATATACACCGAGAAATCCTTCGCACATAGATAGAAAGCGGTCTTGTGCCACTTATTATACAAGTGCCTTTATATCCAAAGAGGGCCAGAGCACGATGCTTTTTCACCGTTCATTCGACTTGTCTGACGATCGAACTCGGTCGTATAACGAGTAGAGATTGACCAAACAGCAACATGCGACCCCAAATAGCTCTATTGGGATCTCATAACCCAGTATTGAAATCAGAGATAACGCGCAAATACAAGGTGTGGATCGTGAACTTCTAGTGCCGACCTATTTTGACCGAGAGATAATTCGAAGATTAATTTCTTTTGTGTCCTGATTATTTCAAAAGTTTAAAAAAAAATAAACATGTTATATATAAAAGTGTCAAAAATAACAAGTGTCAAAATGAAATAGATATATAATTTCTATTTTAAATATTTTACTTAAAAATTCTATTTTAAAATTGTACCTAAAAAAAAACAAATTTATGATTTTTAAAATCAATCTACTTTAAATATAAAATCTAAAATTTACTTTTTGAACCTTTTACGAACCCTTTAAACAAACCCCTCGTTTTTTCCTTATATTAAAGTTCAACCGTGTTTAATTAGGAACCACGAATTTATATAGCCAAATTTTTGAAGACGGATATCCAAAAATTTCGTAAATAAAAAATGTCGGAAATAGCAAATGTCGAAAGTAAGCATATTCGCGTATTTCGATTATGTATACGAAAAGGAACGACGTTTTTCACTTTTTATTTTGACTTTTACATTTTCGCTAGAATATCACGGAGTCATGTTCCCCGAGGCATGGATATCGCGCGTTTCAAATCTTCGCCTCGCGCTCACATGAACATTTCCGTGTGTATAAATTCAATCAAAATAACGTCTCGGAATATTTCAAGATTTCTCTGTTATCATTTCGCGAATTTAACTAGATATGATTCAGCAAAACAAATAATAAAATTGCGCATTAACAATGACCTACCTCTACTTCAATCATTGTGTTTCCTCATAGATATCTAATCGATTAAATGCATAAACATGTATTTTTGATCGATCACAATCTGCATTATGCGACATTTTTCAAAGACAGCAAAAGTTATCGATGTGATAAAAATTCGCGAGGGATGCTATATATACAAGCCGCAGACGTGCACGACAATATAAGAAACATACTTGGATGATCGAAAAAAAGCAATAAAAAGACACAGAATGTAAACTGCATGCGGGTGTAGCCAAATATGGACAAGGTTTCTCGTTTCGATCAAGTAAACCTCCATCTTTTTTTTTAACTTTCGCCAATTCCCTTAATTCCTTCTTCTTGGTCTTTCGTAAACCAGTAAGGGAAGAGAACACGTAAAAGAAGTTGCCCGAGTGCACCTCTCGAAAACCCCGTCCTTAATCTCGAAGACCATAACAATAAAACAAACCGTGCTGTTTCATTCCCTGGAGCACCGTACGAAAGTTGTTATGCCTCGGGCAACGATAAATTAATCAATTTTATTTTGCGGGTTTCGCTCGCGATATTCGAGTTCGCATGTAGGCGTAGTCGCGTGTATTCAAATCGCAAACATCAATTTGCATGTATCCCTTGCGAAATGTCAGCAGACAAATATAATTTATAATAATAATTCATGATATAAATAGTAAAATAATTCTGTATTCTACGAAATGTAAATACGTTCAAAGTTATGTATTTGGAATTTGAAGTTGTATGTGATTTAATTCAAATTTTCAAGTTAATTCTCAGCTTTTCGACAATCGTCTGGATTTGGATTGCCTCATGTTCGATGCATTCTGCCGACGTGGTAGTATACAAAAGTGACTAACGAGATCTCCTTGTACGACCCACACAACATCTCGTTTTAGGCGAGGGCTCTCGACATGCAACTTCTGGCTCTCGATCCTTTCTTCATTAAGTGGGGTGCCTTTATTGCCTTTAAATGGCATCAAAATGGTTCTGACGTGACGCGATGTTATGTAACATTAGTGATTGAATAAAAAAACGATCGTCACGATATATAGTTACTATCGGCATTATGTCATCCGATAAAATAATATGATAAATTATGATAAAAAATGAAATAAAAAGAGACAATAATAATATTCTCATTACAAAATTCTAATTTTTATGTACATCATAGTATTGTATGGTAAAATGTTGGACTTTGTTATATATCAGTAAAAAATACATATGTGTTGCATATATATGTCAACTGAACATAATGCAATACGCAAAGGTGGATTAATTTTTAAATTTATCATCCATGCTCTTTCTTTTTCATCCTTTTTTAATTAAAAATCTAAGAAGTGCAAATATTTTCTCCTTTCAAAATGATAGATATAATCCTATCTTCAAATCGAAATCGACTTATCGGCTTCGTTGCGATGCATACATTTTGGTGATCTTGTTATGAAAAACAGCCATTTACGGCAAACACGTGGATATTGTCGTTTATATTCGGATCCACATATCGTTCGATTCCACGAGAAAGTGACCGTGTATTAAAAATCTTGGCCTGGATATAAACGAGATGGTGTCTCCAGAAACAGTTGCACGATTTCGCCGAGAAATTTGTCATTGTGGTTTTTGTTGTATTGTCATACGTGACACGTAAAAAATTCTGTGATCTGTCTTGTCTTTTTTATTGTACAAAAAACTAAATTTATGTATTATTGTTTTGTACTGAATAGATACATGCAATCAATATAAGAATGATTGTGTACATATAATCTGCTTTATATTTTTACAAATTAAGAAGAATGTAATAAATTGTTTATAATTAAATCCTTGCAGTAAAATTATTATATATTATTGATAATTTTGTCAACTTACATATAAAGCAAATATTTATAAAAAAATCGTATAAAAATTTAAAAATTTTATATTGTACTTGAAATTAAATTAAAATTAAAGGTATAATTGCTACAAACAAATGAACAAGAAATCAGCCATAAATATGCATTGTTTAAGATTATCTAAAACTTTTTGGAAGTTTAATGTTTTGGCACAATAATATCTCTTCTAACTTAACTCTCGATTACGATGGAGACGGGAACAGACGGGAACCTATGGAAGCATTTAGGCGTATCAGTTGTCGTTCACCTTTTTAGGATCAATAAAATAACCAGGCGGGGCAAGGTATGATTAAGTTTGGCCTCTTTTCTTTGGCCATCACAAATCCATAATTCTATATTTATATATTTTTAGTGTATATTTTATTAAATTTATATATAAGTCTCTTTACATTTGCATATATATAAAATATGTTTATTAAAATAAATTATCGAAGAGACCAACATTAAATTCATTTCAAATTTATATTTCTATAACTTTATTATTTTCGTATATTCAAAAATTTTATAATTATTATAACTTTAACATTCAATTATGTAAATATACTCTTTTAATTAATCTAATGCTAATCAAAATTGATCTAATGCTTTCTTCATCTCTCTATTATTTATTCTCAAAATTTTCATTATTTTTTTATATGCAATTAAGATAATAAAATTAACGTTCTACTTACTACATGACCAGCCGTTTCAGTATCATCCACAGAAATGGAAACCGCACGCGATTCTCTCGACAATGATAGCGCGTATATGTATATTATATATATATATATATATATATATATA